TAATGGCAGAGATCATTGTGATGGTATCTTGAAATTGAATATCAAAAATATCTATAATATTTTATTTTTACAAAACAAGTTCTACAAGTGAACTCCTTGCAATGTGGACACTTTTTGCTGAAGTTTACATATCTTTTCTTGCAACCTCAGAACTTTGGCCTGTAGACGTATAATTTCTTTTTCTCTTTCACTCATCCTAAAGTTCTTTTCTTGCGGTTTCATTATTTCTTTTTTACTTGCAACACAACTTTCTAATGAAATGTCTTTTAAGCTTGGTTTAGCATCATGAAAACTATTGTCTAGTGTCTCTCGTTTACTATTTCCTAATGAGGTGTTTGCTTTCTTTTTACTCCCAACATTATTTTCAAAAGAGTTGTCTTTTAGTTTTAAGCTTGGCTTAGCATCATGAAAATTATTGTCTAGTGTCTCTTGTTTACTTGCAACACCACTTCCTAAAGAGTTGTCTTTTAGCTTTAAGTTTAATTTACTTTTATCACTGTCAACTGTTTTCACATCACTGCCAACACCATGCTCTAGTGAGCAGTCTTGTATTCTTGCATTGATGCCATTAATGTCTGATGTGTGAGATGCAAACGTTTGAGAAATATAATCTCGACATTTTTTCAGAAAGTTCTTTGTTCCTTTGGATGTAGGACTTTCTTTATTTTCCATTTGTCTTTTATTCAATATTTAAATGTGGTCTACAGTATGTGGATATTTGTTATTAACTGTGAAAAGAAGGAGTCTCAACTTTAGCTGAACATCTGTTTATTGAAGCAGAACAGTCACCTGCTTATAAAGTAATGAAGTATCTTGTAACTGTAGGCATGTTTAAAATTAGATCTGGTGTAATCTTATACAGAATTATAATGTCATAACAGATTTTAAAGCGAATATAAGCCATGCAATTGTACTTCAAAATATCATACACCCTTTTTTAGCGTAACTATATTGCTATCCAGTCATGATTCAGTGATCAGAATGTTTCATTGTCTTTTCATTGTTTTAAAATCCCACTGTTCTTCATGCCATCTAGTTGCTCATTATTTTGCAATATTTGTGATGTTATGCAAAGGATCTTGTCAACCAGACATGATACATTACAATGAACAAGCTTTCCAATGATAGGGATGCAACTATCTGAAAATATATAAGATACTGTAGCTGCATTCCTACCAATGAAAGCTTGTTCATTTTATTGGTGCTACCAACACTGGCAAAGACAGTTCATGATTATATCATACAGTACATTACACTAGTTTTTTTTGAAGAACAGTATTTTGCATAAAAGTGAAAAAATTGACATACATAATTCATTGTTAATACATTTCCAGCATTTTTAAGTTTTTTATTGATATAAACCACATTACTCATTAGCCACTAATTTTACAAACTTGTTTTAATGTAAATTATCAAATATATAGCATAGTAACATTTAATTTAGTTTTATTTTTACCATTGCTATACAACTATAAATTAAACATGTTTCCTATTCTATAAATTTCCCTCTTGTTGCATTTCGAAAATCTTCTGTTGTGTTTTTACAACTTTTGCCTGAAATTTTAATATTTTCTGTTGAAGTCTCAAAATTTCCTTCGCAACATCAGGTGTCTGTAGTTCATTTTCACATTTAGTTTTTTGAGCCTGCAAACTTTGATCCAAAGCAGCCTGCAAACTTTGATCCAAAGTTGAACTTTGCTTTAACGTTTCTTCATTCCTTTCCGTTGTATTATTTTGCTTGTGACTACCGTCAATTGATTTAAAAGCATTTACAAATGTTTCCATACTTTCTTCTTCTCTAGCTGTGCTCTTATCTTGCTTATCGGCCTTTAAACTTTGTTCTTTAAACTTTGTGTTTATTTTACAACTGCCAGTGTCGTCAAGTGCAACATTTCTCAACACTTCCTTGCTTTCATCTTTGCCCTCCGTCACCTTTGCTTTCTTTTCCACAGACACGTCTTGTGCGTTATTTTCAGAAATACTTCGTTTATTTGAAAGCGTTTCCTTTGTACTGCGTAAACGTTTCACCCATTTTAAATGGTCTTGCATTTTAAGCGGAGTTGTGGTAGCAGAAGGTGTATAGTTATTTCTGTTTGTGTTTGTTTTTGAATCTTTTGTACTAAATATATCTTCGCTACACTTTTCCTCTTCTTTACTTCGAGAAAGCGTTGCGTTGTTTTGCACAACGGGAGTTTCCGTTGATTTTAAAACGTCTAAGTTATCTCTGTGGGTTACTGACTCTTTGACACAAGACAATTCCTGTTCTATATTATCTGCTTCCTGGCTTATAACTGTGCTCTGCACATATTGTTGAATACTTGACGAAGTATTATCCATGCTGCTACCTTCTTCAAATGACAAAGTCCTTTCTTCCTTCTTTCGCAATGAAAATGTCTTCTTTTGCATTGTTAATGATGGCTCACAACTTACTGGCCTGATTGTTGAAGTGTGGTTATCTACTGAAAGATTATGTTTTAAACCTTTGCTATCTTCTCTGAACGTTTTAGTAGTAAACGCCATTGAAGAATATGGCCTGTTTGGTAAAGTTTTCTTAGTAATTGAAGGATTAAGCATTGATGAATGCGGTCTGACGTTTCTACTCTGTTGTTTCTTAGAAAAAGTATATTTGTTCAAACGTAACTGCGCACTATTGGGATTGAGAGTTGATGATTTGGAATTAAGACCCAAGTTTCCTAGTTCGGCCTGCGAGTATATATCGTTTCCGTTACTCGAATTATCGAGTGCGTTGTAATTAGTAGACGAATTAACATTTTCTGAGGCTTGCGAATTTCTCCGTTTTTCATCAGGCATTTTCTGACCAGATTCAGCCCTGTGCTCAGGAGACAAGCTCGCATTATGAGTTGTAACGTTGTCCATGTATGGTTTATCTTTGTCTACTCCTTGCTTATTATCTGTTGTCGTTTTCTCATTGTGAACTGTCTCCCTGCTTAATGCAGATTTACTCCTGTGTTCAAGTCTTGCATTTTCTCTTGATTCACCCTCGTTTCCTCGTGAAGTTTCCCTAGAAACTGCTCGAGACTGAGTTGTAAAGTTTGTCGTATCGCACAGTCCACTGTCTTCAGTGATTTGCTCAATCCCTTCCCCACTTCGTTGAGCTTTCACTGACGATAATGATAAATTCCTTAACTTCCGTTCACTTGCTTGTTCAGAAGTATTAAAACGACGTTCAACTGCAAGATTCTTACTAATACTTGCTTCCTGTACAGAGTTTTGCACTGAAGATAAATTCCCTAACTCGTGTTCCCTCATTTGTTCAGAATTACTAAAATCATTCCCATCTTTAGTAGTGTTCCTTTCTTTTTTCCTAGATTTCAAATTTCCATCCTTTCCTTTGCGCTCTCGTAACATTTCGCGCCGCCTTCGCAGTCGTTCGTAATCGTCTTCGGTCGGAACGCTTTCGTAATCGAGCCCCAAGCATGGTCCCCAGATCCTTACTAGCAGCGGAGTCACGGTCGCCCAGATATAGAACAAAACGCAGAGAAAACTAGACGACAACTGTATCCATACTGTTGCCCAGTTTTTAACGAGTTTTTTCAAGTCAGCTAACTCGTCTGGGCTATGCCAGTTTGTCACCACCATCATTAATTGTAAAGACGCCAGAAACATCACGAAATGAAAGAACGAATAATTATATTCCAAGTCGATATTTTCGTCGTCGACATATTTTTCGCCGATATATTTTTCAGCATCATTTTGGTCGAGATAATGGTCTTCTCTTGTTGGATATTTCGATAAAGAAAAGCCGATCTTTTCCAGCTTGGAAGTGCTGGAACGAACATTACACGCGAAGATTAACAGAGCGAACATTAGTACACAATCCAATATCGCTTGACCGTTGACCCCCGAGACTTTATCGTATTCCAAAATGACGTCACCCATAGGATTACATGAGCCGTCAGGTTCACTGCTCAGCGTGCACCATGTTAGGTACATGGTGTAAAGACTGACTATAGAAGATTGTAGCAGCCCAGATCCTGGGGCGCTGTCTTGCACGCGTGGGAGAACGGAAACAATCGAAGCCAGTAAACAGTGAAATACATTGAAGGATATAAGAAACATATTTCCACGACATTTTGAAAGATTCTGTAAATCTGTGAAATATAGGTAATAAAATACTGCCATTGTAATTGCCATTGAATATACTAATATAGTTGAGAATACCAACGCAAATCCCCAAAAATTACTGTTTCCAGATTCCATTCTTTCTCCCCACGAGAAACTCCAGGAGTGAGCAAAATCGATGACAAGTAATATTTGGAGCATGATGAAAATAAAGCCAGCGGTCAGTCCAACATACATCAACAGTCGACCAAACTCAGTACGTTGCGGAATGTGAAATGCTCCTACCAAGATTGCAACCAGTAAAACCAGTTTTAAAAACCAGAATCCATTGTGAAATTTAACTCGCAAGTCTTTGCCCGAGGTCGTGTTTAACATGAGTAGAGAAAATACACCGTAGAAAATAGCCAGAGAGAAACAGATGCGATACACTGCTCCATAACCCACCAAGTTATCACACATTTCCTCTGTAGTTACTGCAGTACAGAAGTACGGTAGTTTATCCAGAGCGCTGCGCATGTTGGGGGTGACGACGAGGAAACTTAGGATGGTTCCTAACAGTAAAAACAATACAAATAGGAACCTAGGGTACTTTGTAGAACACGAGGAACACAAGGCAGTAAATGTTGATGTTGTACAGCACAGAAGTCCCTCAATAACCTCTGGTAACCCTAACGCTGTGATCCAATTTCCCATATAAACCCATGTATAGCTTTGGACTTATATTCCAACCTCATCAACGTTGTAGAACACGAGGAACACAAGGCAGTAAATGTTGATGTTGTACAGCACAGAAGTCCCTCAATAACCTCTGGTAACCCTAACGCTGTGATCCAATTTCCCATATAAACCCATGTATAGCTTTGGACTTATATTCCAACCTCATCAACGTTGGGAAAAGATTGTTGCTTCTTTTGCTGACATGCAATGTTTCTTGAATAGTGTGTTTGAGGCAGTACTTTTAATTGTACTTTGACCAACTCTGTGACAACAAAGATATATCTTTTCTTTGTAATATGTGATGGATTTGAAGAGTATATTTCTCAGTAGACGATGTGTTAACTTGAAACAAACCCACAACTTGTTGAAATAAAAAATCTAGTATAAACCATCCAGCATTTTCTCAAGTGTTGTGTGTTAATTAGTTTAGACAAACCCTCGTAGCGATGCTTGTAACTTTGTCTTGTTTTACTCAAATATTTCAGCCATATGTATGAGGAAAACCTTGACCAAAATAGTTTTATCCTTCAGTTTGCCAACATATCATATAAACATTCTTCAGTAACCCTCTCTTGATACTGTACTGTAAAGTATTTTCCACTGTTTTTCATTCCAATACAATATTCATTTACAGCGTAGAGTATACAATGAACAATTTTCCAACCAGGTACCTGCTACCAAAATTTCAATCTTCTTAAAACATTTCAATATCTTTTTGCTGTCAGACTAAGACAGAATTGAATGTCATAACTCTTGGTAAATCGTCGTGATATTTCTAGATATCATTCCTGCGTTACTCTCAGATTGTTGTGTGCTTGTTGGACACTCAAATTGTTATTTTAGTTCGTGAGATAGCGTGATCACTGAAGCATGAAATTATGTCACAAAAACCTGCGGAGATTAAACGCGGGAGAGTTTGAAAAAAATGCTTATTCAACAAGACAAGTTTTGCATTCTACCTCTTAGCTTCATTCCACTATTCACATTTCCAGGAAATTCTTGCATCAATCCACATTACATTTTAGAAATGCACAGCGCTTTTTATTGGAAAATTATATCTAAAAGATTGGTGGTGAACTTCACAAATGTTGTCAAATGATAGGGACAAAAAATAAACTATATCTCTCAATTATATTTATCTGCCATCAAATACAAGACTACTACATAGAATGAAAAGAATGAACATTATTTTCTCACTCTGAGAACTGCAGGTTGCCCAACATCTGCTGCACGATAAAGTCCTTCGTTCAAGCTAGCTTTATTCAATCTTTTTTAAGTCTTTAACATTTTATTTAACACAGTTCAACTATTTTTCATAAACTACAATCATAACTACAAAATCTACAAAAGTTTATCAGCCACTAAGTCTAGCAGCGCTTTTTTAAGCTTGCTTCGTAATACTCGCTTCTCGCCTTCCTGTACAAGACTTTTGAGTAATTTCGAGCCACCAACGTTTTTTTCTGTCTCTTTAATTTGCTCTTTAGGCAATGGAAGTTGTTGAAACAGTTCATTTAGAAGTTTGATTGCTGTTGATCGTGTTTTTACGAGGTCTTGAGGATATTCTGTGGACAGCTGGATAATTCGGGACTTTATCTCATTTAGTCGTTCTGAAACAACCAGAGACATATGGAGGTAAGTAAATGGTTTAGGCTGGCTTGGTTAATAGTTTGACTACATTAGACTAGATTATTGGCCAAGTCTTACAACAGGTGGAAACGTAAACGTATGCTTAATGACTAGCTTAGGCTTATAGAAAAATGAAAAATATACCTTTGAATGTCGAGACTTCCATTGCAGTGACAAATGACATGAGTTCTTTCAATAGTTGCTGTTTTCTACCATCCATCACTCTCATTTCATTCAGCAGGTCACGTGCTAGCTTCTCTGCTACGTCATCACGTTGAGCCTGCGATAGCCCTGTGGCATCTGTCAGTGCAACTGCGTAATCTTTTAAATCGTCCAAGCCTAAACATGGAATTAATTTTTACTTTGCTTTTGTTCTGTCTATTGGTGGGTTTTGTTCTGTGTATTGGTGGGTTTTGTTCTGTGTATTGGTGGGTTTTGTTCTGTGTATTGGTGGGTTTTGTTCTGTGTATTGGTGGGTTTTGTTCTGTGTATTGGTGGGTTTTGTAAGTGTTACGGCTTTCTTTACATGTTTCATGATGCTTACCCTGTTTTAGATCGTCCTCAGTGCCAACTGGTCTACGTTGGTTAACTGGGATAGCATCTTTGAGTACATGAATAAGCTGCAAGATATTAACAATTTATCGTCAGTGGGATACGATATTCCATCTTTGTGACATTCAATTTTTTTACATAAATCTAGTACGTGCAATGGTCGCAAACTATGACTCAAACCTTAAAGATGTTCGTCTGTTGTTTTGAATAATGTTGTCTTACCTCCGCTTCTTTGATGGTGTTTTCTAACACGTCATTCGAGAATGATATACCAATATTTTGAATACCTAGCGTAGAGCAGAAGATAGTTAACCATGAGGACAAGGACTGCCTAAGTTCTTGAACAAGTTGTATCATACACGACTAGATTTGTGCATTCCGCGGGTGCAATAAATGGAGAAATCTGTTGTACCTGACCTTTTAATCACTGTGTTGAAACTGTGTCGAAACTATGTTGAAACTATGTTGAAACTATGTCGTCTCGAAACTATATTGAACTATGTTGAAACTATGTTGAAACTATGTTGAAACTATGTAACTAGAAGAGATTCACTTACTGTTATTCAGGGCTTTGTGTATCTCAGATTGAAATTTCGTATTTCCTTTACTGGCATCATGGACTTGACCTTTTGAAGTTAGTTTGACTGTGGCCTTCATTCCTGGTGTTGTAACCACTTTGATAATTGGACCAACCACAGCAGGTGCTGCTTGGTTACTTGATGTAAAATCTGGTGACGTTCCTGGGGCTACTGGTGGATTAGGCTTGGTAGTTTGACTTTCTGATTTTGGTACGTGTGTTGGTGGCTTATATTCTGGGAATGATGACCATTCTGGGAAGGTTGGTAGTGCTGCTGGTACCATATATGATGATGGATTGGTTGGTATATATGGTTGTTGTGGTAGTGTTGATGATGGTAGTTGTGGTGTTGATGGTATCATCTGTGATGTGGGTACTTGTGCTGGTGGTACCTCAGACTGTTCTGGTATATGGTGGCCTGCTGGTATTTGTTCAGATATTGATGGTAGAGATTCACTCTGGTCTGGTACATGATGGTCTACTGGTGTTCGTTCTGTTGACGATGGTACAGTCTGTTCTGGCACATGTTGGGCTACTGGTATTCGTGTGGTTATTCTAATAACAGATTTCAAAGGGTCATCACCTTGCGAGGGGATGGTACCAATGTCAGCTACTGGTGATTGAGATGATTCTTGTTTAGGAATATGTTTGAGAACTTCACTCAATGGTATTCCCTCTGGCTTTGGCGCGATGTTTGGTATATATTCGTGTATTGCTGGTAGTTCTATTTTCTCTTCAGATTTTTCTCTTGTAGAAGCAGTCTAGGACAAGAAGACACTTTATGATATTTGTCAAGCTTATTTTCATTTACTTTAATATGTTTACATTGTGGCACTCAATAGCTTCCGTGATTTACTTCAGTTTGGTTAGATTTTCAGCTGATTCTTCGTTCGTGTGAGCGAAGACAGTTTTGAGAACATGAAAAGCCCAATGGGGAAGGATGGCGCAGTAGTCGATGTCTGAACCGTTCATCTCCGGAGTCTTATTTCTACAGTTTGCAGTTTTTCGTTTATAGTTTCACTTCAGTCGCATATAAATTGCTCCAGATACTAGTTTCCTCCAGTATTAGCACTAGACTATTGATAAATTGGTAAATCGTAGAGTTATCTAGTGTTTTGAATGTTAGTTATTTGACAAACGATACTTCGTCGGCAATACCCAATTTGACTTACTTCTTCCTTCTGTTTATTCTGTTGGTCTTTATCACCATCGTTACTGTCTTTATCACCGTCGCCACTGTCTTTGTCTTCTTCTTTTGAGAAACTGGTCGTGTTTTCACGACCTCCTACATCGTCATAATCTTCAGAGTCGTCTTTATTATTCGTCGCATCCAGAGGCATGTCGTCATCTTGCTCTATGTTAGTTTCCTGACTCGGTTTTGGGACAGAATCAGCTTCACCAAGTTCATCTCTACGCGCCAGAGGCTTATCTGCAAAACACATGCGGTATATGAGAGAACAAATTCAATTTTCATATATAAACCCACAAGATATTCACGGACCTTCTTAACTTATTACTGTACAAACAGTATCTCAACGTTATCTTGCTCACAATTCTTGTTCTTCGTGTTTATCAAAACCTTACTTAGATAAAAAGCGTGAATCACCTTTAACGTCATCTCGGCCATCTTGTTCTGAAGTAAGTATTCCTTTCTCTCCCTTGACCGCCATTTCCAGCGTGTTGGTCAAGAAATGTTTGATCCAAGGTTCATTCACATCTGTGACCAGGTTCTCTAGAACATCATCTTTCTTTCTTTGCTCAGGACGTGGATCTAGAATGTTTTGTGAAAGTAGGAATGACTAAAATGCATTCTCGGTAATAATTCATACGAAAACACATAGGAAAGCATGACTGTGAAGGAGCTTGTATATCTGATACAAAATTCTGATGACTTACATAAACTTTAAATTCATTTTTCTCACCAAATATCATTCATGTTTTTTTACAATTATGAAGAATACAAGCGTTTTTATCACGACGATACTTCGGCTCGTGTCTATATATCTCCACCTATCATTTTGTACGTATAGTACACCTTCCTTAAATCACTACACTTACATACTCGCACGCTTACCAACTGTCTGAGGGACAAAAGCTCGTTTCTGAAGGAATGGTCCGATACTCCCAGCATACCCATATACATCATTGTCAGTAAGTGTGTCTGCTGCAACTGTATAATGCTTGCTTTTTATCATGTGAGGAGTATTTCTGGATAGCTTGTTGCCTAAGTGTGAATGGAAATCCTTATTTATAAACGTTTGCTTCCACTTTAGATTGTTTGTTTGTATGTTAGTTTGTTTGTTTATGAGCAGAGCAGGATTAAGTCAAAAAGTTTCGAACAGTTTTAACAGAAAGTCGAATGTATTGTGAGGCAAAACTATCACTCATACGACTTACCATCTCCTGTATATTGTGACTGTACCATCTCGGTGCTTGGTATTGCCGTTCTCTTTTCAAGCTGAGGCTGTTCTGTAGTTTGATATCCCTGGCTGTCTCCACGACCCAAATATGGCGTTGCCTTACCATTCCAATCTGGAGTTTGATAAGCTTGCATTTGGTCTTGAATATTTGGTAAATGCTGAGTGCTTTTCAGACCAGCCGTTAGCCAGTTATAGTCGTTGCTTTGAAGGGGAGCTTGCCTGGTGGAAAACGGACGTTATACTTTAATGTCTGGCTACTTTTACCGCTAACAACGTCCACAGATGCGAATAATACTTACATCCTACCATCCCCCCAGTTTTCTGAATTCTGTTTATTGTAACTGTTTTCAAATCCATCATCCCCACCGATGTGTAGATTGTTGCCATATTTCGCGTCATCAGGTTGTATGTCTTGTGTTGTTTCTTCGTTCCTAGCTAGATCTGAAGTGTCATCCGCAGTGAGGAGTGGGTCATGAGAATTAGTTGTCCAGATGTCGTTTGCTGTAGAAGAAAATATATTCTAATTTGTAAATTATATGACCTACATTTTCCTTTACTAGCTGGTTTCATTAAGCGATGGTGGAATGGTCGTCTCTCAATTCGTTCCTACTAATACAAGACAACTGTATATAATGAAAAAATATCTCACTCTAAAGCTGCAGGTTGACTAGCATTTGCTGCACGATAGTGCTTTTGTGAAACCCAGCTATTCTTATAAGCCTCCCTCTTATTCCTAAATATCCCCCCCCCCCCCCCCCCCCCCCCGTACCTTGATCTGCAAAGTCATCAACTTCAGGCGTGTCTTCATCATTAAATCTATAAGATGTCTCTAGAATTTTTCCACTTTCTCCTAGCTTCACTTCCTTATTTGCTGCATTTTTCTCAACTGCCATCTCAGTGTTTTCCTTGCCGTTCATTGTTGCAGAAATTTGTCCTGTTTTCGATTCCACCATGTCTTGCTTACTGTTGGTCTGCTTCAGGTTCCCATCCTCAGTATATGGGTCTTGCTTATTGTTGGCCTGCTTCAGGTTGACTTTCCCATCCTGAGTTTCCATGTCTTGCTTACTGTTGGCCTGCTTCAGGTTGACTTTCCCATCCTGAGTTTCCATGTCTTGCTTACTGTTGGCCTGCTTCAGGTTCCCATCCTCATTATCATTTGAAGCAGTTGTGTTTTGCATGCCAGAATCGCTCGATCCCGTATCCATGTTGTCATTTACATTGTTCTTACTTTGTCCCAAGTCGTCATCGCTGCCATCCGAATCAGTTTTTAAGCTTTTATAAGTTTTAAGATTGTTTTGTAAACTTGGGTTGGGTCCTAGTTTGGGTTCTGTACCAGGGTCGTCTTCTAACATTGTATCTGGTGTGTCTAAATCATTGGAATTATCTACCATTTTAATACCAGAACCATCCCCTGAAATCGAGTCAATATCTGCTGATCCCGTGTCTAAACCATTTACATTAGTTTCATCTCCTATTTGAACGACAGAACTGTCTCCGGATGCGGCATCTGCTGACCCTATCTCATCCCCTGCCTCGCTGGCTTCCGATGTTCTGAGACTGAATCAGTGTCTGCTGTTGATCCTGTGTCATTTTCATCTCCTGCCTCACTGGCTTTACCAGAGACTGAATCAGAGTCTGCCGTTGATTCTATGTTATCCCCTGCCTCGCTGTCTTTATCGTCTCCAGAAACTGAATCAGTGTCTGTTGTTGATCCTGTTTTATCCCCTGCCTCGCTGGCTTTACTGTGTCCAGAGACTGAATCAGTGTCTGTTGTTGATCCTGTTTTATCCCCTGCCTCGCTGGCTTTACTGTGTCCTGAGACTGAATCAGTGTTTGCTGTTGTTCCTGTGTCATTTTCATCTCCTGACTCACTGGCTTTACCAGAGACTGAATCAGAGTCTGCCGTTGATCCTATGTTATCCCCTGCCTCGCTGGCTTTACTGTGTCGAGAGACTGAATCAGTGTCTGCCGTTGATCCTATGTTATCCCCTGCCTCGCTGGCTTTACTGTGTCCAGAAACTGAATCAGTGTCTGTTGTTGATCCTGTAGAGACTGAATCAGTGTCTGCCGTTGATCCTATGTTATCAACCTGCCTCGCTGGCTTTACTGTGTCCAGTTAGAGTCTGCCGTTGATCCTATGTTATCCCCTGCCTCGCTGGCTTTACTGTGTCCAGAGACTGAATCAGTGTCTGTTGTTGATCCTGTTTTATCCCCTGCCTCGCTGGCTCTACTGTGTCCAGAGACTGAATCAGTGTCTGTTGTTGATCCTGTGTTATCCCCTGCCTCGCTGGCTCTACTGTGTCCAGAGACTGAATCAGTGTCTGTTGTTGATCCTGTGTCATCTTCATCCCCTGCCTCGCTGGCTTTACTGTCTCCAACGATTGAGTTTGATCCTGTTTCATCCTCTGCCTCGCTGGCTTCAAGACTGAATCAGTGTCTGTTACTGAATCAGTGTCTGTTGTTGATCCTGTGTCATCTTCATCCCCTGCCTCGCTGGCTTTACTGTCTCCAACGATTGAGTTTGATCCTGTTTCATCCTCTGCCTCGCTGGCTTCACCAGAGACTGAATCAGTGTCTGTTGATCCTTTGGAGTACTGTGTCCAGAGACTGAATCAGTGTCTGTTGTTGATCCTGTGTCATCTTCATCCCCTGCCTCGCTGGCTTTACTGTCTCCAACGATTGAGTTTGATCCTGTTTCATCCTCTGCCTCGCTGGCTTCACCAGAGACTGAATCAGTGTCTGTTGATCCTTTGGAGGAGTCCTTTTCAGATCCCATGGATTCATCTTCAGAGTCTTTAGATTCAGAACCATCGCCTGTTCTTTCTGTTGTATCTTCTTCATCTTCTGCCGAGCTCGAGCCATCAATTTCTGAATTATCTTCTTCAAAAGTTTCTGTTGTTTCCGTTTTGGATTGCGCTTTCATCCCTGGTTGCTTACTGGAGCTCTTTCCAGACGTCATGCCCTCGTCAGAGTCCATTTCTGCACGATCTGCCGGTTTGGAAAAATCATCTGTTTGTTCAGATTGGCTATTAATTTTTGCTTGTTTGCCGGAGTTCTTCCGAGAATCATCCTCAGAGTCCATTTCCGAAGCATCTGAGCTTGTCTTACCTTGATCATCTTCCATGAATTTATCTTCATTCTTAGAATGATCGTTTTTCTTGCTGTCTTCCATTCTGTCATCATTTTGTTCAGATCCTGAAAGAGCGTCGTCTTCATCCATAGAGTCCTTAGATTCCTGAAATTTATTTGACTTCTCGGAACTCAAAGATTTCTTCGAATCCTCGTTCATTTCCGAATCGTCATCACTCACATGCTGTACGGAGCTGTGTTTCTGTGGGGGATGTGGGGTTTTACTAACTCGCAAGAACTCGGCGTAAGTATCGGCTGCAGATTGTTCAACATGATTATCGTTGGCGTTCTGTTTAGTTTCGGATTGAGTTGAAACATTTTGTGTTAGAGCTGAATTTGCTTTTCCTACATTGTTTATCTTTGATTCTGAGTTTTCTTTCCCATCATTTGATATTTTGGTAGAATGACCAGACCTAGGTCTCTCTGCGGACGATTTTTGTTCAGGATGCAACGAGCTTGACTTCTTGTGGGACTTTTTGACCTTATTTTCTTTGCCGTCTGAGCTAGATTTTGTTACAATAGACTTTTTGTGATATTTTTTTGCCTCATTCTGGTCTAAGTTAGGCTCTTCACCGTCGAGCATTCCATATAAAAAGTTAGCAATTTCAGGGCTTTCCTCAGATTTTGATTTTGAAAAGTTATTTTGAAATCCAGAAGTTCTTGCATTGTCTCTGTTGTCGCCCTTGTCAGATTTTTCAAAAGCTGGTTCATCAGAATTAAATGCTTTAAAAGCGGCATCATTTTTCGCAATTTTTCCATCAACAGCATGTTGTATGACATCTTTCTTGACTATTGCTGTTTCATCGTCTGTAGAGTTGACATCACTCGTAGCAATGACGTCAGCTAGTGGTACACCGTTGTCTTCAGATTCTCGTTCTTCACGTTTTGTGAATATTTTGGTGCTCTGAGCTTCATTGTCTAGAGAAATTGTTGAGAAATGTGTTACGCTAAATGACATGTACTTGGGTTCGATCTGTTGCTGGGCGCCACTCTCATGCAACAGATGATGTTGGCTAATCAACAAATACCAGGGTGAAATATAATTTTAATTCTTTTTTATTTTGTGGATTGTATTGGCTACTGTTGTAATGAATCAACCCAAGATGAAGGCAGCCAGCGGCTGCATTGTATTTGCAACATTGCATCAGTGCCTTTAGTTAAAAAAGTGAATGAGATACAAGTATACCTAGAAATATAAGCAGAACTCCGATGTCTCGAGCGAAGGCTTTTCGTACCCAACGAAGGTCTTTCGCTCGAGACACCGACGTTCTTTTTGCTTGGTATCTTAGGGCTAGCTTAGTTGGATCTCTCTGTAGTTCAAGTAGTTGGATCTCTCTAGTAGTTCAAGTAGTTGGATCTCTCTAGTAGTTCAAGTAGTTGGATCTCTCTGGTAGTTCAAGTAGTTGGATCTCTCTAGTAGTTCAAGTAGTTGGATCTCTCTATAGTAGTTCAAGTAGTTGGATCTCTCTGGTAGTTCAAGTAGTTGGATCTCTCTGGTAGTTCAAGTAGTTGGATCTCTCTATAGTAGTTCAAGTAGTTGGATCTCTCTGGTAGTTCAAGTAGTTGGATCTCTCTAGTAGTTCAAGTAGTTGGATCTCTCTAGTAGTTCAAGTAGTTGGATCTCTCTGGTAGTTCAAGTAGTTGGATCTCT